CACTCGCAGCATCCTCTGGCCATTTCCCAGCCCTCAGCCCCTCACTAAGCCCCCGCCAGCCACACAGCTCTGCCTGCAAAAGCAAAACAAGAGGTGAAATCCCCTTGCAGGGACCAGCCTTTATCTGGGGACCCGTCCCCGCATGAGCCATGGATGGCTGCTGGCCGTGGCCTGGGGCTCTCTGCCGGGTCATGTCTGCATGGCCCCGCACTGACCCCGCTCCCAGGACGCTGCCAGAGCGGGGGGCCGAGGGGAGGGAGGGCAGAGAGACCGCAGCGATCCCGTTACACCTCTTGGGCTGCTCACACCATTAATAGGAGGGGGTGCAAACGGCTGCCAAAGCACCTGCTCCGCGTCCCTGCCGCATCAGCATGGAGAGCCCGGCTGCCCCAGATCATCTTCCCAGCTAAGCCCGGCCCTCAGCAACACCCGCCCGGGCTGCTGCAGGGACCAAACCCCCTGACATCAGCTCCTGGGCTCATTCTGGCTGCAGTTCCCCAGTGCCGGCACCAGCTCTTGGGCTTTGCAGCATCCCCAGTGGTCTGGGGGGGGTCACAGCCGGAGCCTGGCACGCACCCACCCCGGCCTGCAGCCTGAGGGGACCCGGGTTAGCATGGATGGGGGGGCACAGAAAACACACAAACATAACCAGGGACAAGATCTTTTTTTTTTTTTTTTTTTTAAAACATTCAATTTAATACCTTATTAAAAATGAAAATAGTTTATTTTAACCTCTATTGACTTAGCAAATACTTAAACTTGCCATGGCTTGGGGCTGTGGACGTCTCCTGTAGTTGCTACAGCGCTGTGTGATATTGCACTTGGGTTTCATTCCTAAAAGCGACTCTGTGAAGGCAAGGCCCGAAGGGCTCCCCGGGTGATGGGCTCTCCAGCACTGCTTGGTTACCAGCAAGCTCCGCACCACCCTGCAGCGATGGCACCGGGGCCCGGCACGGGTTGGGGTGGTTGTTCCCCTGACACCCCTCCGAGGACGGCTGCAGCCTGGCTTTGTTAACCCAGAACACACTTCTCTCTTGATTTGCTTTGAATAAAACCAGTAACTGAATTGAAGAGCTACACAGTCTGGAGATAAACTCTGTTCACTGGGATCCTGGTACCCACTGTGCCGCCCCGATGCCCACGAGTGAAAATGAACCGCAGGAGAGATTTCAGGTGGGGATGGGGAACTAGCGCGAAGCCCAGATAAAGGGAAGGTCCTTCCCCCCCCTGGTCCTTTCAGGTTGCCTTTGAAAAACTAATCCAGGGGGGCCCAAAGTCCCTGGGGAGGCTCGTGCCAGGCTCCTGGGCTGCCCTGCTGCTGCTCGGAGATCCTGGAGCGCTGCCTGTGCTGCCAGCCTGGGATGTCTCTGGAGAGCAGGCAGGGAGCTACAGGGTGCCCTTGCTGGGGGCAGTGGTGGGGTTGGACCCCCCTGGATTCAGCGTCACGGAGCCCCTCGGTCGCCCCAGCCTCAGTCACGTCTCTTGCCCTCCCTGGGCCTGGCAGTGCCGTCCCTCCCCGGGGCGGCCGCCAGCTCCCAGGGCCTCCTGCCCTTCTGCTGCCGCCAGTCCCGCTTCGGGCTCTCCCTGCCACCGTCAGCCCTGCCGGGACGGCCCTTCCACCCCTCCTTCCTGGGCTCGTCCCTCTCCCGCCGGCTCTCCCTCCCCTCCCGGCTCCGCTTCTTCTGGGGCTGCTGCTCCTGTTCCCGGGGGGCCCTGGGGGCTCTGCCGGGTTTGTCCCCCAGTGCTCTGTCCTTGGCTCGTGCCTCCCTCCGGCTGCTCCGCTCCGCCTGGGTGGCACGACCCTCCCGAGCCTTCTCCTTCTTCTCCTCCTTCTTCTCCTCCTTCTTCTCTTTCTTCTCCTCCTTCTCCTCCTTCTCTTCCTCCTTCTCTTCCTTCTTCTCCTCCTTCTCCAGCTTCTTCTCCCGGCTCTTCTTCACCTCTGTCGGAGCTGGTGGCACCTCAGGGACATCCACAGGCTCTTCGTCCCTGTCTTCTGGTGCTGAGCGGCCAAACCACTTCTTGAAGATCCAGGGCTCTGCCTGGGAAGGGGACAGAGGGGATCAGGTGTTGGTGACACAGCCCAAGGGACTGGGACCCCTCTCCATCCCTCCTCCTGGGGACAAGATGCTCCCCCTGCCATGGGAGGTGCCCTGAGGATGCTGTTTCTCCCCCACCCCGGACCCATACCAGGTTGCTGTCAGCATCGCTGTCATCGTCACCGTCATCATCATCATCATCGTCCCCATCATCGTCCTTGAACACGCTGCTCTCCGGCTGGGCAGGCTGGGCAGTCACCGTTTCCTGGACCTCCTCCTCCTTGGCACTGACCACCTCTGGGAGGGGAGAGGGACAGGCCACCGTCAGCAGGGGACGAGGCTGTTGGGGTGGGATGTCCCAGACATGGGGTCCCAGGGCCACCCCACCCTGGGACGTGGCCCCGTCTGAGGCTGGATCTGGGGGATCGGGACAGCTCGGAGCATCCGAACCCACCGTGGAGGGGAGGTGGCGGAGGGTCCTGCTGGCCGCGGGTGACCCCTTCCCTGGAGCATGGTGCTGCGAGAGAGGAGGGGAGAGCAGGCAGGAGGTGGCGGCAGGGTCTGGCCACCCCGTCCCCCTCCGTCCGGCTCCCGGCTCACCTTGGAGCACCTGGAAGGTGACGCTGAGCAGGGCGACGACCGAGGCCACCAGGATGCACTTGTTGAGGGTGAGCCCTTCCCAGAGGAGCGGCTCCTCCGCAGGGTCCAGGCTGGGGGGCTCCACCTTCCTCTGCACGGGGAGGCTCTTGGGGACTGGGGACCCCCGAGGAAAACAGCGTTACTGGGGGGAGCTGGCGAGTGGCAAAGGGCTCTGAGCTGAGGGGTGGGAAGAGGTCCTGACATTCTCTTGCACAGCCCATCCGGGGCAGGGGCAGGGGCAGGGGCTGCCTGCACTGCTACTGCCAGCAAAAAAGGTGTTTGCTCTCCAGGGGTGGGGAAAAGAATATCATGGGGCCTGGGGCTGAAGGTGTTTGGGCTGCCATGGCTCAAGCAGTGAAAACCTCCAGGCTCTGCTGCTCCCTCCACACCAGGATGGAGAGGAGGAGGAGGAGGAGGAGGAGGAGCGGGATTTGGCAGGTGGACGAGAAGCCCCATCTCCATGTCGCTGAGCTCGCAGGTGACTGTGGAGAGCAGAGCTCATCCTGTCACCGCTCCGTGGCCAGCTGGTGACTCCGGGCTGGCCGGGGATGCAGGACAGTGTCTATTCTGTGGCCACCTGGGGCCAGGCTGGCCATTTTGGGGCAGAGAAGGGCTTTCCTGCACGGAAAAGGTAAAACCCCTTAACTGAAGGTATTTCTGAGCAGACACAGTCTTATCTAACAACAACACTGAACCTATGCTCTTTTTTTTGAGGCAGATTTCTGCTGTGAAAGCTTAATGTTGGTTTGGGGTTTTTTGGGGGGTTTGGGTTTTTTTTTGTTTAATTCCTTTAAAGTAAATATGTTCAGGAAGGAGTAATAAGAATTTAGACTGTAGGGGCCCTGCTGAGTATTAGCAAATTTAGTACTCTGAGGATGAAAACTTTGTTCTGGTATGTTTGGGGAGTTTGAAATAAAAGGGTTTTACAGGCTTTTCCTACCTGGAGGCCCGGTGGTGCTGCCTTTGGCTCCCACCTTCTCCACCCGCTTCTTCTCTGCTGCTTTCTTGTCCACGCCGAGCGGCGCTGGCTCTGGCATGCTCAGCTCGGGCTCGTCCGGATCCTGCTCAGAGATGCCAAGCCGGGTCCTTGCCCCCTCTAGCCCCTGCAGGGAGGGGTGCGAGCGTGCCGGGGGGTGTAAGAACATCGCATGGCCCCGAGGGGAAAGCAAGCGGCGTGGCCGGGGGGCACGGGGGGCACAGGGCACGGTGGTGCCCCCTCCCAGAACGAGGGATGCTCAGTGCAGGCGTGGAAGGGCCCGATCCCTGCGCCCCGCAGCCTCATGCTCCCCAGGCCCCCCCGGGCTGAGGCGGTGCTGACCAGGCTGTCACCAGCTCCTCAAGCACCCAGCCCCGGTGTGTGTATTTGCATCCGCAGCCTTAAAAACACGTTGGGGCTTTTTCTTTTTTATTTTTTTGGTGTGTGTCTGCTAAAATGGATTTAGCCACTAGCTGGCTCCGTGCTGCAGAGAAGGCGCTGGGGTGCGGCCCCAGCTCACCCGGGTGGGCTGGCAGCTGCTGGCCCCTGGGCTCTGCTTAAGCAAGCCCACGCCAGAGGAGCCCTCGGGGCTGGATTTGCCCCCAGCTTGGATGAAGACACTCGAACGCACCCACTGAGGGCAGGGGGTCGGCTCCAGGACACGCTCGCTAGCGGGGTCAGTGCGCTGGGACTCGGAGAGGGAGCACTGGGGTCTGGGGGAGCCCTGGGGAGCCCTGGGGAGCACTGGGGATTGGGCTCAGTGTTGCTGGGGACGGAGTTTGGTGGCCGGGCCGGCTGTTGTCTCGTGCCAGCAGCACCGGATTGGTGCCACAAGGGAGAGCTGCCCACCGGCACAGGTCAGTGACGGTGACAGCTGAAGGACGTGGCCTTCATCTCCCCTGGGAGCCGCAACACCCCGCAGAGCCCTCCTGGGCTGAGGTGGGACAGAGCCCACTCAGCCCCCCCGCCCCGGTGCGGGGAGCCCCCCCGACAGCCCCCCGGCCCTGGGACACCGCACACTTACATGGGTTCTCCCGCTCTCCCCGTGGCTGCTCACCGCCGTGTCGGCATCTGTCAAAGACGAGCAGAGCGCGGTTCGTTAGGCAGCGAATTCGGGGAGGTGGGAATCGCCAGGGGCTGGGGGTCTGCAGCCTTCCCGCACACCCCCCCGGGTCACCCATGGAGAGAGGCTTGAGCAGACACACAAAAAGCCCCCTGGCCATTGGGGCAGCGGCTGGCAAGGGGTGTAAGAGCACCACTGTGCAGGTTGGGGGCTGCTGAGCCCCAAAACATCACCCTCAGGGGTATCCCTGGGGGTGGGGGGGATGGTGACCTCCCCGCCAAGGCTCACGGGGGGATGAACAGCCCAGAGGGCACACAACCACCCTGAAAACACGTGGCTGGAGGCAGCTCGGGCTGTAGCCTAGACAGGAGGACAAGCTCCGGGTGCCGTGAAGGAACCAGACCTCAGAGGAGACCTCAAGCCACCCAAGAGGTCTGTGAAGCTCAGGGATGACTCTCAGGGCTTTTCCCAGACGTGAAGTGGGAGAGAAAACCAGAGGGTCTCCCGGGCTCTGCAGTCGTTTGATGCAACGAAGGGCTGGGGAGCGTGCTGGGCTCCCCGGGGGTTTCTCTTGCCCCCGGGTCTGGGGTGAGCTACGGGGGTGAGGATGCGTTGACAAGGTCCCAACAGCACGGGGCCTCAGCCCTCTGAGAGCAGCCCTTGCTCCGCTGGCATCTGGATGCCACATCGTGCAGAGCTCTCGCCAGAAGAAGGAATTTTTGCGCCCTTTGAGCTGGATTTAGTTTGTTTTCCTCCAGTGGAAGAACGATTGCTGAGAAAAAAAACACACCAGTTCCCAGGGTTGAAATCTAAGACCCAATATTGGAAGCAAAACAAATAAATAAGAGGAAACCTTTAGGCTGGGGAATCATGGCCTGAGAGGTCTTTGCTTTCAGGAGGAAATAAAAAAAAAGTCTTCGGTTTTGTTTTAGTGATGGCAAGCCTGAACCTTTCTCTGCAGGGAAGCAAAGGAGCTGCCCCAGGACTCTCGCGTTGGCTAGGGAGGGTTCCCACCCCCAAGAAAAGTGCAAAGATGGAGAATTTTTTCCTTAAAGAGTTTTTCCCCCAAGTGCTTGTCATGTTTTTGAACTACACAGCTATTCACACTTTTTTTTTTTTTGAGCAAAGATGAGCACGAGGAAATCAGAGGAGGGCACCAGCCTCTGTTCCTCTTCACCCTGGCCATGGCCGATGTCCCCATGGGGTTGGTGCCATGCTGTGATTCCAAGGTGCTGCAAAGAGCCACCTCTGCCAGGCCAAGCCCTCTCCTGCGGGGCATCAAGCACCGTGGCAGCGGCTCTGGCATGGCCATGGCCAGCACGCCCTGGCCGCTGGCTCATGGTGGGGACAAGGTACCTTCTCTCCTGTCCTTCCTTGGCTGCCTGTGAGCACTCCCTGCCCACCCAGGCAGCTCACTGGCAGCCTCAGGGCATCTCAAGTCTTTGTCCAACAGGTCACGGAGACCTGCTGCCGTGTCACTTCAAGGGACTCTCACTAAACCGAGAGGGACAGAACAAATGCCGGGTGGTCAGCGGGCAGCAGCCCCGGCGCTGGGCGGCAGCGCCCTGCAGCACGCAGCCATCCCTCCACAGCCCCGCTGCCGTCCCCAGCCTTAGGCTGAGCTCAGCTCCCTGTCGCAGGGTGCGGGGCTGTTCCCACGCCTCCATCCCTTGGGCTTTGCCCAGACAGAGGAGCCCCAACCACCTCCAGCCCCTGGGCGTGTTTCCAGGCTTTGCCACGATGGCTGCAGGGCTCCTCGACAGCCACGCCGTGACCGTGACCGGGCAGGCAGCCATCCTCCCCCCACAGCAGACACCCCACGGGCATTAACTCGGTCCCAGAGCTGACCGGCTCCGTGTCCGGGTCTGTTCCCCACTGGACGGGAGATGGGGTCCCTGCCCTGGCAGGAGGCAGACGCATTTTGGGGCTCTACAGCTCGGGCGGGATCCTCGTCCCCAGCCAGGATGGGCTCTGTCACCTGCAGGAAGAGGCTTCCTGGGGCTGGTTCCTGCCAGAGCAGCTCCAGCACTGAGCTACCAAGCACACAGCCCCTGCCCAGCCCAAGCAGGGCAGGGTGGGCTGCCGATGCCAAGGATGGCCACCGATGCCAAGGGGCATTTTGCCCATGGCAGGGCTTGGCCACCCACAGCCCCAGAGCCTTGGCTCACGCCGACTCCCGCACAGGAGACCTCTGTACAACAACTCAACCCATCCACCCCCCACCCCGCGCTGCCTGAGCTCCTGCTCCCTCGGACACACGCTCCGCAAGCCAGACCCTCTCTTAAACGCACGAAATCGCAGCCATTCAACGAATAATCAGTTCTGCTCTGCTGTCGCTTGGACTTTTCCTGCACAAGCTCCTGAGGTTGCTTCTACCGCTGACTCACATCAAAGAAACTTCCAAAAATAGTCGCCTTGCCTGCCCTGCTCTCCCCATGCACGCTCGCATGGCAGCGCTGGGACAGGCCCTGCGGCCCCCGAGCCACTGCCGGCCAGCAGCGGGCCAAGCGCTCCCTGGCAGGCTGAGCCCGTGGGCTGCCCCACAGCCAACCGAAAGGGTTAAAAGCCACAGAAAATCGTACCTGGGGCTCGACCACCGCTGCCTTGCCTCCAGCCCCCCAGCTGGCTCCGGCTCGCTGGGGTAATATACAGCAACAGCTGCCGAACTGTGCCGGAGCAAAATAGCACCCAATCACCGGGAGCCGGAGCACCCGCGCTGCAGCCCCAGAAAAGGCAGTTCAACCCCAGGCATCGAAAGCAGGGGCTGCTGCTCGCACAGCGGGATGGCGCTTGTCCATCTGGGAGCCCCCCCGGAGAGCACGGGGAGGGGAGAAGGGGTTTGCTCTCCCAAGCCGGGGTCTCTGAGCCAGCTGTGGACCAACACAAGTGCCGGAGATGCGGAGATGAGAAACCTGCCAGGCAGGGTTAAGAAGGTGGCGCAGGAGAAAGGAGGAGCAAGCCCCTGGGACCGACAATCCCAGTGAAAACCACTTTTCTGCCAGTGTTTAGAGCAGGTCCTTTGCCCCCCAACCCCTCAGATTTCCCCACGGAGACCTGTGCAGCCACAGGCACCTCCTGGGGAGGGATGAGGTCCCCCCCCGCAGCTTCCTGCTCATGGGAGGTAGCGAGGAGATGGAGCATCTCTCATCTGGGGAGCTGAAAAGCCCCACTGGGCACTGGCCCTGCCTGTGCGAGGTCACCCGGAGCCCCCAGGGGCAGGTACAGCCTGGGGCAGAAGCACCTGTCCCAGGAGAAGTGATGCAGCTGTGGCTGGGGGCATCTTGCTTTGAGGACACCTCTCTCATGGAGAGCCACTTCTGAGAGGCCTCAGGGTTAAAAAAAAACCCAAAAAAACCCCAACCTGACGTTCCATGTCTGCAGTATTGATATTTTTCCTTTGGCAGAGGTGTGAAAGGTCTTCAAATGCAAGACCTAAAGGAGGAAGAAATTGGGCACTGGCATCCTGGAGGGGACTGAGCCTTTTTCCAGGGTTCCAGAGACCGGGAGAGACTGGGTCATGGTCCTGCTTTAGATCCATAGAGCGAATGAACTCATCTGCTTTCCAGGGCAGGGATTTCCCCTCTTTGGCAGAGACAGGACTGAGCACGCCGTGATCCCTGCTGCGGTATAAATAACGCGCTGCAGAAGCTGAAGGCAGATGGAGGGAGGGATGGAGCTGTAAACACAGCCCCCCACGCAGTGCCAGGGCTGCGGGCGCACACGCCAAGGGTAGTTTTCTCAGTTTTATTCCCGCTCCAGTAAGGTCGGGGCTGTTCATTGGCAAGGCATGTTTGCTTTATAGGGACATAATGAAAGCAGAAAATCGTAAACAGGACAAATAAAAATCCCTTCTTCTGCCAGTTAATCCTGTTTCCCGTGGTGCTTGCAGGTTTGTAAGCTTGCTCCTGCCTCCTGTGGGCGAGCTGGTCCGCCCAGGAATGAACCTGGGGCTTGGACGGGCGACATCTGCATGCACAGAGCTCAGGAAAACGTCCTCCCGTGTGGGGCCATGGGACAGAGAGCTCTCCTCACCCTCTCCAGGACCTTTCAACACCTAGTTCCTGCAGCGGGGAGGGACCAGGAGCATTTTTGCCTCCACATGTTTAGCTCTGAGCAGTTCCCTGCCGAGTTGCAAAGCCTCCATCGCCATCGGACAATTTATCCCAAGCAGATGGAGGAAAGAGATTCCCAGAGGCAAATTCTTTCCTAATCCCTTGAACACAACACCCCCCCCCTCCAAATCCCAATTTCTCCCTTGCCCTGAAACTGATAAAATTGTCTCTGGGACAGGCTTAGCTCAGAGAGGGGGAAACATGATCTGGCCGTGAAACCAGATGGAGAGAAAGCTGCTGGTGGAAGAGCTTGGGAAGGCAATCAAGCAGGTGATGGACGGGGGCCCGGCTGCACACAGGCTGCGCTCCGTGTCCAGGCTAAATATTGACTCTCTGGCTTTGGCTTGATAACACAAATCTATCTTCTCTGACTTCCCAGGCTGTCAGCTTGCCTCCGATTCACATGGGTGCGTCTGTCCGCAGCGTGCCAGCCGCCCCCGAGGCTCTGCTGTGGCTTTGTGGTTTGTGGTCCAGAAGGACCAAGTTGTTCTGCAGCATCCTCCCGCTTCTATGGCAACGCTCATTTATCCTCCCACCAGGACATAATCTTCTTTCTCCCCGTCTTTAATAACTTGCAGTTAAAAGGCAATCATAAAGACATAAAATTAGTCACTGATTATTTTCGCCAGAGGTTAGTTCTGGGGATGAATTTTCCTTTTCTCCATGAAATTCCCCCTCTCCCCGGAGCCCCTGCCGCTACAGCAGCCCCAGCCTGACTCGTCTGCTCCTGCCACAGGTACGAGGAGAGGCAGATGCTCGAGCTGGTTGTGCAGATGGGTTTCCTGCTGCCCCAGCTCTCAGCACAAACCCCAGATTTCATCCCTGGCTCCACCAGGTTCCCAAGGCCTGGGAATCAAAAAAACCACCCTGCCAGCCCTGGAAGCATTTATCCTCCAGCCCCGCACGTAGGCAGGGTTGGGCTCTTGACCTGATTTTAAAGACGGGAATTTGGATGTTGTCTAAGCCCAGGTCCCCTGGGCAAAGCCCAGCTCTGTAGTCAGTCCCTGCTCCAGCAAAATCCCCGTCACCTCCACGCTGGCGTCGTCCCTTTGTGCAGCTGGGGGTGGCAGTGGGTCCTGGCCGATCCGGGGCTACACGGGTGAGTGCCACCCCCCCCTCAGCCTCCCCCGCTGCCGGCTGAGCTGGGCCGTGCTGCCTGGAAGCCGTTGGCACCAAACAAATACCCGCCGGGGATGCACGTGGCACTCGGGCCAGGCGCTGCATGGGCTTGTTGGAGGTGCTCCGTGTCTCAGAGCCCTCCACCCTTCCCTTAGATGTGGTTGGAGGTTGCCACTGGGCTGAGATGCGATCGGAGAGGGGTGCGGGGCTGGCGGCTGGAAGAGAGGATCACACAAACACGATTTCTCAGGAAAAATCAGGTGAAAGAGCAATCTGATTCCTTGCGCGATCAAAAACCTAAAGGCACAGGTGTCCCCATAGCAACCTGGCCACATCCCAGCGCTGACAACAATACTCTCTTTCCTCATTCAGTCGGATCCAGCATACATCAGCTCTTCCCATCCCGAGCGGTTGTGCAATGTCTGTGTGCTGAAACACAGCTGCTGCCTCCTTACCCCGAGGTAGCAACACATCAGCGTCAGCCGGGGAGATAATTTCTCTGCATGATTGCAAGAACCACAGACCTTTACGAGCACTGGCATTATTAAGAAACGCTCGGGAAGTTACAGGAAGTGAAGCGATGTTTTTTTCTCTCTGCCAGCTGTGCTGCTTCTGTCAAATCATGATCTGTCATCGCGGGAGATTTTAGATACGTTGAGCTGAGCAATCTCCTTGCGGAGGTGCAGCTCACTGAAAGCCTGGAGCATTTTGGAAGGTGGATGTTCCCGTGGCTTCTCGACACCAGGCGCTGCAGTGAGGTTGGGTTGAGCTGCTCGTGTCGGAGGGAGCCAGGGAGAGGGATGGAGCATCCTCTGCACAAGCCGGTACCGCAGCTGATACCTGGACGGGCCCCGCTGTCCCGGTGCAACGCCCTGGCCGGCTGCTCGCAGGTCGCAGCCCTGATCTGCTCAGCTAATGGAAAGCATCTGATAGTGGAGAACTGCTACAAGAACTGAGACCCGCGCCCTTCCTCATGGCTTCAGTGATTTGGTTAGCTGGGAGAACACAGCCGAGGGTATCTCCTGCTGCTTCCTCTGGGGTGAAGGTTTGACACGGTGTGGAAGTGGAGAGGGAGAAGACAGGAGCTCTGCGGGACAGGTACCATCTCAGGCCAGCCCTCGGTTTAATGAATCACAGCTTGCAGCACCTTTGAGGACCTTCCTCCTCTTACCCTGAACTTTTAGCCATGGGTGAGCCTGGTGGGCCAGCAAGCCAGAAACACTACGGGTCTTTGTTTAAAGGCAAGGGGACATCCTGCCTCAGGACACACCACCATAGGGTCTCCGGGAGCACGATGCTGCAGACCAAGCACCAGCTTAACACATTCGTCCAGATGAGGATGGCAAAGGTGGTGACATCTGTCAGAGATACACTTTTCCATGTCACCTCTGGCTTTCCAGCCCTGAGCTAGAGCTGGCCAGCCGTCCACCCAGGCACAGGGCAGCGGCCGTGCTGGACACACAGACACACCTGGCAGCAGCATCCTCATCGCATTCAGGGTCTGGGTTGTCTCCAAATCGTTCCCAGGGATGGAGAAATCATGCTGGGGACAGGCCTCAGCTAGGCAGAGCTGAGCAGAACAAGGAGCAGCCATGGTCCTGCCCTGACGTCCTGAACCCTGCACGTCATCGTGGTCCAGCTACAGACCTCAGTCCCAGGGCTGGCTGGAGCTTGGGCCACTCAGCATTGTGACAAGAGATGAGGCTGGCAGGGGCAGAGAACACCACATCGAACACATTCATAACCGGTCAAGGGCTGTGCGGACGTGCTCTTAAATGAAATGAGCTTGTTAGGTCTCTGCCAAGAGCAGAAGAGGCAAGAGAGGGTGCGGGAAACCCCTTCTGCCCCACTCCTCCTCCCTTGCCGTGATCCCCGCGCCCGAGCAGGGAGGGACTGCCAGCAGCGATCCTGCCGTGGGGAAGGCTCCCGGCCCTGCCGCAGCAGCTGGGATCACACACGGGTGAGCAACCCCCATCACCCGCCACGCTGCTGGCAGCCAGCACAGAACCCTGCGGAGCCTTTCGCCGCGCTCAGCCCAGCACCTCGCGGAGAGCCGCTGGAAGCATCGATCCCTCGGCGCGCCGTCTGATCTAGAGGTGTTCAGAGCAGCTCCACATTAAAGCCAATCTGATCACACTCTAATCCGCGTGTGACCTAAATACTCCAATTTACAAATCTCAGAGGTTTTCGCTCCCTTTGCCTGGCAGTAGGAGCAGCATTCAGGTCAGCGGGAACAGAAGATGCCGGATCCCATTAAAAGCTACTTTTAGTCTCGGCTGCTTTCAGTAATTGTTCCATGATCCGTTTTCTCACAGCCCAGCGCTGCTTAGGGCTAATCATTATTCTTTTTGAAGATTTACAGCTGTTAGTACCTCTGAGGAGAATACAAGTACGCGACTGTGTTTGAACATGACATTTCAAACGATCTGTCCTTGGAAGTAGCATTTGGGAACAGGGAAAGCAGCCGCGATGTTTCTCCTCTGAAGGGCCGCTGCTGGGGGTTGATGCTCTATCTGTCTGAAACAGCCCTGTCAGGGGAAACTGAGGCAAAAGGAGATTAAGGCGAGAGCACAGCTTTGGGTAAGGGGTGCTGTGACAGCCTGGGAATAATATCCCAGTGATCACAGATCTTCCCCTTTTTGAGGAGCGATTGAAGGAGCTGGGGGTGTTCAGGGTGAGGAGGAGGAGGCTGAGGGGAGCCCTCGTCCCTCTCTGCAGCTCCTGACAGGACATTGCAGAGAGGCGGGCGCTGGGCTCTGCTCCCAGGG